CCCCAAAACCCCAAAACCCCAAAACCCCAAAACCCCACTATACAATAAAAATATTGAATTTTGTGCTAATAAAGAGGTAAGCGCCCAATCTTCAGAATTTAAACCTCAAAATAACACAGTCATAGCGGAATGAGTCGGAATAAGAAGAACTACTTAGTAGAAACTGATAGCTATGATGAAAAATGAGTTGGAAATGAGACAAAGTCGCAATACCTAAACACCATGAAGCCAGAACAGCCTTCCATCAAGATCAATATAGTCGAGTCCTCTAACACTCGGAGTGAGATAGGCAAATTCAAAAATGCTCACAAAATACGAGATAGCGATAGTATGAACAAATCTAACTCCTTCTTAAAACCGGAGTGCAGTGGATCGATTTCTTCTAAGCTTAAGAAAGATAATGTTGTTATCATAACTTCTAAATTGGCTTCGAAAAATTCAACAGCGATTCAAATAGATTTTAAAGACAATGATTCAGCCAACCAAGACTTGAAAGGTGCTGGAGAATCTGATAGCCTCTCATCTCAAAGATGAAAATAAGAACGGTCACGACGAATCAAGCTTGCAGATAAACTTATTAGACCAAGTAAAAGATATTTCTCATGGTGTAAGTCTATTCCTTCTTCTAATTTATTCATGGAATATAGGCTGAAAGATTCTCAACTGTATCAGATTCAAACTCTAACAGTCTCATTAATCTGGTTGCAAAGCACAAAACGAAACCTTCAAAAGTCAAGGTAAATTAATGTTTTATTTCTAGAAAATGAAATTTTACAAATTTGGCAAGGAAATGCCCTTATCTCTTGTAAGAAAGTTCGTAACAAATAGAATGAAATTAAGAACATCACTAAGAGTGGAAACAGTATTCCTCATGAGCAACTACTGAAGTTAAGAGTTGGTTCAAAAATCCCCTTCAGAGATATTCTAAGGCTGAAATACCTTTACAAAGATATTCAGAAAATTAAGCAGAGAAATAAAAGTGAAAATGAGGTGAAACACAAGAGAGTTTTTGCTGCTTATATTCCAAAAAGACTAGAATCTTCTAATTGTACAAGCGATAAAGACTATGAGCCCAAAAAGATAACTCTTATTGAAGACATCATGATTAAGGATAAGAATTATGATAGTCAGAAGTTGATAGCCAAGATTGAGTCTCCAAAACCCCGCAAAAAGGTAGCTTTATCTGGCTCTAAAACAGAGAGGCTTCAACCAAGAGCAACAAATAGTGGATTTCCACAGAGAAACTCTATAGGGGCTCTCAAGATGTTTACTGCAAGGAAGGTTAGGAATACTTTCAATTGAAGCTCCAGAGCAAGAAATGACCCAAAATGGAAATAAATTTCTTGAAAAAGTCTGTGTAGATCATCATAATAAATTGTCAGTTATGAACTTTTTACAGTAATTAATGGATCTAACATTTAGGAATACGAAGACACAGTAAGGCTTAAGATTTTGAGAATACCTTCTAGAGAAGTTAGCCTATAGAATAGTATGAATAGTTTAGAGGTTATTCTGTTATACTACCAACGAGAGTTGAGAAACTGTTATTTTGAATCAAATAAAAATACTTTTCGAATATAATTTTCACGATCTGAGTTACTTTCCAGAACTCACTTATTCTTTTACCTTCAAATTCGTCAAACATTCTATAGGCCATTTAAAAATGAACTTCTAAATCCAGCATTATCCAAAAAGAGACTTCAAACCTCGAACACAAAGTATCATAATGGCAGGCGAAATTTGAAAATTAAACCTCCAAAAGCCAATGATAAGTGAAAGTTTACTATTGATTATTTTGGCACAATTTTATCCAAAGAGCCTAAATTGAATATCCCAACCAAAGGCTCAAGTTCAAAAAAGGAATCTCTTAGTTATCCTATGAGTCTGCTTCAACAAAGATCCAGCTCTACAGCACAAGTCACCAGGAGATAAATTTTCATTAAATCTGAATCGATTTCAATTTTTTTCAAAGAGCAAGGGGTTTTGGGGTTTTGGGGTTTTGGGGTTTTGGGG